GGGGGGGGGGTGGGGGGCGGCCGGCAAAGTGTCATCCTGTTTTGTTGCCAATCTCAGGTGGTGCAGACGACGAGGAGGATGGCAACGACCAGCACCAGATGTCCAGCGAGAAGAAGAAGCGACCCCCGGCCAAGCCGCTGTTCACTCGGTCTGCCATCGCTGCTGGTCTGGTGCGCCCCAGGAAGACCGCCAAGGACGACAAGGCAGAGCGGGTGAACAACAACAGGAAGCCTGGAAATGGGACGGCGGGGACCGTGGCGTGTGGGGGCGGCATGACGCGCAAGATGGCCTGCAAACGGGCGGCAGAGCAGACTGGTACCGCGGCCGATCGGCGGGCCAGCAAACGCACAAAGAAAGAGAAGGGGCTGCTGTAAGTGAGGCATTGAGGGAGTGAAGCCAGCAGCCAGGAGGCAGACAGACACATGCCTTCTCGTTTATGAGTTCACCGACAGTTTTTTGTATGCCGTCACTCTCTGTCATGGTTGTGTGCTAGGGTGTCGGGTGGGGCGTGCCGCCTTTTTTGTCCTTCTATGATGTCTTATGTGTCTGTGTGGTGGCAAGTGTATTTGTATCCATCGGAGTGTGCGTGTGGGGGGCGTTTGCTGGGCCCCGGAATGAAGGCCGATTGTGTGTTCCGAAGATATGTGAGTAAGATATCTGAGTGTTTCTGTGTTGGCGGTCTATGTGTGTGCGAATCTGTGTTCTCTGGCAGAAAACGAACCAAGAGTCAGCAAATTCGTTCTGATCCGATTCGAACAACAAAGAATGTCATGCATTGAATCACACTTGTACAACGATGCAACATCTCACACGCACGTACACCGGCTCATTCGTCCTCCTGCCTGCCAAGTTAGTGTGTGTGGGTGGACGCGATGAACGGCATGAGGGGGCACTCTCCCTGTGGGTATCGCTGCATCGAAGAGGCCCTCCCGCACACGCGGCACCGCTTGTCGTGTTCGATCATCAACACGTGCAGGGACGGCTTCAGCGACTCGGGCACTCTGAACGACATGCCACACACACAGACAGACACAGAGAGGCACCACAGACAGCAGCAACATGCATCATTTCTGTGACAGATTGCAGCCGTACGCTGTGTGCGTACCTTCTGTTGAGGTGTTCGTATGTCTGCAGTCGTGTGGCTGACGGCGGCACCCACTGCAGCCTCAGGGCCACCTTGTGCACGTGTGTGTCGACGGGGAACTCCGGCCGGTTGAGGCCGAACATCATCACACACGCCAGCGTCTTGGCCCCCACACCCTTGTAGCTGAACCACACACCACAGACAGACAGACAGACGATGACATTCCTCGGCGGAGGCTCTTCCCGTGTTCCTCTCCCCTCTGTGGCCATCGACCCACCTGAGAAGGTGTCGCTTCACGTCCTCGTCAGGCAGGTCCCGCAGATACTCGAGCGACGGCTCGCCACCATCCTGCACACGCCACACAGACAGACAGGCCAACAGACAAAGCCATCGACTGACACGAGAAGCGCCATGGGGAATTGGTGGGGGCTGTCAGTGAGCTCACGTGGTGGCCCTGGTCGAGTACGTCCTGCAGGATGACTCTCATGCGCTTGACCTTGGTGGTCGCCAGGCCGCCCCGCACTATGGTGGCCTCCACGGCCGAGGGGTCGGCGTCCAGCACAGACCGCCACGTCGGATACGATGCCTGCACACACACACAGACATTGAACACAGAAATGAGAGATGTGACGACGGTGCAGCTGGCTGTGTGTTGTGTCACCTTGAGGCGCTTGAACATCTCATCCGACACGACGTCAGTCGTATTCTGATGCACAGACAGACAGACAGACAGACAGGAGAGAGATGTCGTGTCCCCGTCCTTCACCCCTCTAGCCATGGTCAATTGTACCTGTGAGAGGATGACCCGAACGAGCAAATCCAATAAGGGTCCCCCGGCCAGCCACTCGCCCACTGGCGAGCCCCTGGCACTCGATGACGACTGTGGCTGTGCCGCCCTCTGGCTGGTCAGTATGTGTCCGTGTATTTGTTGCAGGACGTCATGGACGATGCGGCAGTCATAGGTGGAGGGGTGCGGCCACAGAGGGAACGGCTCCTCGTCCAACACCTTCTTGGCCCACGGCTCATCTGCTGATCCACCTTCGCCCATGACATCACCGTCATGAGTCGGTGCCGTGGCCCTCTTCCGTCTGGTGCCTCGCCGCTGCTTTCCTCCAGCCTTGCTGAGCCCACCCCCATTATCGACATCGCTCCAGCCCGTTGAGGACGCCACGGACATCCTCTCAATGTCACCACCAGCATCATGATCAGGGGACTCACGATGCTCCCTCCTATCAGCAGCACTCATCGCAGCTCCTCTGCTCGCGCTGTCCCTGACACACTGGCCGTCTAATTGCCTCTCCAATCTCATGGATCCCTGCCTCATGCCGTGCCGCACGCCGGCGGGCGGCAGTTGCTGCGCTCTTCTGTCGTCATCTCGATATCTGAACGCGTCGAAGTCGAAGGGCACCGCAGCCGATGAGTCCCCGGCGTCATGCCCCCCCTCGTTGTGGCTCAGTGAGCAACCACCGTGCGGCGGGCTGGTTTTTGGTCGCGGCTTGGTTCGGCGCCGCTTCGGAGGTGGTAGAGGGGCAGGAAAGGATGCCATCAACACATGGGACACAGCAAAAAAGAAGGCCACGGATTCTAGCTCGCGTTTGCGTTAGGGTTCCTGTGAAAGCGCTTGGGGAAAGGGATTTTTTCCATCACACTCGCATAAGTAACGCCCTGCCCACAGTCACAGGAGCCGCGACTGCGTCGTGGTTGTCTCGAAGATGAAGGATACCTGTCCTATTGCTTCCAGCAACAGATTGGGCACGGTAACTTTGCGCTACAACCGCCGGCCCTTAGCGCTGTGGCGCCGGTGTGCCGGGTCCAATGTGTTACAACGGTCACGTGAACGATCCGGCGGACGA